TGTCACTGTTACAAGATCGTATCATTACGCTACGCAGCGCCCGAAGACACGTTCTGCCTGATTTTCTGTCTCTACCGCACGCACTCTTTGTCGTTCAATGTTGGCGCCGTCGTTCGGAGGAGAGCCACGCTGACTAAGTATCGGGTATATGTTATGGACCTTCTTTTAGACGTTAGTTCTTTGTATTGTCCAAGCATGCCAATCTATTGGGAGTTCCTCTAAAGTCACTTAACCGTAACTGTGGCATGCCACCACAGTGTTCTTTATAAACAGTTTCAAACATTTTGGGGGGCTATTTTTGTGTAGAGGTACACTAAATACTTTTGAAAATGAATGTCAATGACAGCTTTCTCTGTCTCTCTCTGGTACAATACACCTTTCTTTCTCTCGCTGTGGGATATTTGAACACAGAACACAAACGCACGCAGGCACACACTCTCCAAAAAACACACACATAGACACCGAAAACATGGCGTACAACGGTAAAGCAAAGTAAGAACAACACAACAACAAAATGTGGGTGGGTGCAGGGGCAAGGCAACAAAGCAACAACTAAAATTGAAAGGCAGACAAATAAAAAGCGCCGAAGGAGCACAAGACACACACACAGAGAGAGAAAGAGTGATGGGGAAGGAGAGGGGGATGGGGGATGGGGGATGGAGGATGGTGAGAGTGGGCCGAAAAAAAGGGATGCTGTGCGAGAGTAACTACAACAAGAACAACACCAGCCAACACCGAACACTGAACAACATGATAAAGGCCCAAAAATCAATTTCTGTGTCAATTTTTTTTCGTCTGCCCCTCATCCCCATCTAAGTCCTTCTCTTTTTTTCTTTTTTTTGGCGCTCCGTGTAAAGAAAACCGAGGGATAAAAAGTGCGTGCGGCTTCCAAGGGAAAAAGCAGAGCCAAAAAGGAAAAGGGAACCGCAACAAATTCGGCTCATATTTCAAAGGAGTTTCGGGAATGTCCTTGGATTTGTTGGAGCTTGTTTTCGGGGCGGGCAGAACAGGACCCGGGCAGACGAGGGGCACCCACACCCACCAGGCAGAGAACCAAATTAAATGCAGTCCTCGCATAAATCTTGTACACAAAACAGGTCGCCATACCCGACCTGGAGTCCCGTTCCCCGAGCTGGGTCATTGTTATCGAACAGCCAATCGGATTGCAAAAAATCTCCAAGGACACCAAATAGACTTTACACATTTTTGGCTTACCCAAAGGGAAGTGTGTCAAACATAAATACAAATTTTGGTTATTTATGGAATGCGGCAGCGCTCTCACATATGCCACAAGTTACCATCCCAGTCCATCCTTCCCAAAATCCCTCACCAACCGGCTTACCGAGAGCAGACCCAGTGGGTGGTATATTCATCAAAGATATTTAAAGTCACGCTCGAAAAAGAGCTACTGGCAAATTGTTTTGATCAAGTGTGGCAAAAAATAAATTGAATTATAATGATTATAGTTTTAATGTATTTTTAATAAGGAAGGAAATGGACCTTTTATATCTGAATAAATTACATTTCTGAAACCAATAAAAATGTCATAAAAGTAAACAACAATCAGACGACTAAAGTATTGCTTTTACGACCATTGTTGCCATGCAGCGATGATGGAGGTGATTTATAATTGTTTTTGGAGGAACTTGAAGCTTATTTATTATATAGTAAACATTGGATGTTTGTGCAAACACCATCTGCCGAGACGCACACAGATGTTTGGGCTTCAAATGATGAATTTTGAATGAAAACAGACGAAACTTCCTTAAAAATCCTGACATTCTGGCACACAAAATCTACAAGAACCAAAATGAGACGTCAGCCAGCAGAAAGGTAATCCCAGCAGGATCTAAAATAGCGATTTTCCAGCAGTGGATGCCACACGCGCACACGGCTTTGGTGGGGGCGTGGCAGGAACAGGAGCAGGGCCATGGGCATGGGGGAATATGGCTAACAAGCGAAAAGACTGAAGTGAGTTTATGTATTTTGTATTTTTTGCATAGCTCTGTAGTTTGATGTTGATGTGGTTTTGTATTTCGGGGTTATATTTATTGCATTGTTTACCGTGCATAAAAGCGAACGACAAGTCGGTCCATTTGTAGCTCTTCGGCCACGCCCCACTCTGCTTGCAACAAAGGTACGGGTTATTTATGTGTGTGTGTGTGTGTGCCCCTGTCTGTACGTGTTTGTTGCGTGTCTCTGCCTTCAATGCGAATTGAGGAAAGCGTTTTGATTATTTTACAGCCTTTTTTTTCGTTCAATTTTCGCTTTGATTTTTACCGTGGCCCGTTGCTCTTCTTTGGCTTTTACTCGCTCTCTCTCTCTCTCTCTCACCCTCTCTCCATCTCTGTTGCTGTTGCTGCAGGCTGTCTGGGAAATTTATGCCGACATCGCCTATATTTATAGATACCTTCACCTGTCTTGCCAAAAGTCACTTACGAAATTAAATTTGTTGCTGTCTTTCGCTCTGTCTCTCCCACTCTCTCTCTCTCTCTATCTAGCCCCCCTTTCCACCCTCTTACTTCTTTGGCAACCCTCGCTCGAAATTGCTTTATATTTTTTGTGGGCTTGTCAACAGATTCTCAATTATGTTCGCTGCACATTTGCCGCAAATCAAATGGAAATGAGCAAATGAAAACAAGGAAGTACTGGAGGAAAATGAAGGAAAATGGATAACGGTTATGTCGATGGGGCAGTTAAAGTTACGGAAATGTGTTGTGCCCTGAAAGAAACAGATTTCCACTTGGCCTGCCTGTGGAGTACAGGTACAATACGATAATGGGGGGCAGCAATTGAAAATTTGATTTGCTTTCGGAGAAACGACCACGAGGATAGACAAAATAAACTAGTTTTCAGCTCTCTATTAGTGAAGGCGAAAGGCAAAAGCACAAGAACTTCCACGAGGATCAATAAGCAGCTAGAAAAAACAAAAAGTATACGACTTTAGCGACGGACAACTGATGAGACGACTGATTAAGACGACGGCTGACAACTGAGTGAGGAGAGTCCTCTCTCGGGCGCTTGACGGCTCTCTGTGACGACCGCTCTCGCGCTTTAGTGATTCACTCTCGCGCTCTAGGGATCCGCTCTCGCGCTCTAGTGATCCGCTCTCGCGCTCTAGTGATCCGCTCTCGCGCTCTAGGGATCCGCTCTCGGGCTCTAGTGATCCGCTCTCGCGCTCTAGTGATCCGCTCTCGCGTTCTAGTTGTCCGCTCTCTGCTCTGTCTCTATCGGTTTTAGGACGCGAGCGTGCAGACAGCACAGCCTTCTTACATTTGTAAAGAAAAAATATTTGAATCAAGTTAACTTCTCTAGGTGAAATTATTTTACGGTTAAGCTAACTCCGGGGCACTGAGAGCACTAATTAAATTCAATTTGCTTTCGCTAGGAAACCAGCCACATCTACAGAAAGTGAACTGCATAGTTTTTGGAAAAATGCGGTCTAAATCACTTCACTTACAAGGAACTTGCAACTTGGTTTAGGGGCATACAATAATTCGCGGAAAGTTTGGGTCTGAATTGAATTTCCTCTCTCGCGTATCTTTATGGCGCTTCCGAGTGCTCTCCCCCCACTTGCGGAGTGGCGCTTTTACTTGTTCATTCTTGTTTGTGTTGGGCGGCAGCGGCAGCGGCAGCATTAGCAAGTTTGTTTTGTACAAAAATCAGGAAAACGAACACGACGAAGAGGAATTAGTGGAAAAGGAAGAAAAATAAATGGAATAGGACGGAGAGAGTGGAGAGATTGGAGGGAGTGGGAAGGAAGTAGAAAAAACAAACAAAAACAAACCCAAGAACATGTCTTTGACATATTAATAAATTATATTCGAGTAATCTCCTGGGCATATTATCATATACAAAACAGACATACATACATACATACATACATCCGTAAGTACGTACTCGCATGCCCCACTCAGTGTGCCCCATCCACCGTGTTGATGGGCCCCCTCTGGCTCCTCTTTCATTATTTATATTATTTTATTGTGTGCATTATTGTACATAGCATTTGCTGACAAAATGTTGTTTTCGTCATCGTCTCGTGCATTTGACTAATTTCTTAAAAATGTTCGCCCATAGCCAAAAGCAAAAGCCAGAAGAAGCGGCGGCCGAGATCAAAATCATCACAATATTATATTAAATAAATGCTGAGTGCCACACAACAAATCAAATCAAAAGTGGAATATTAAATCAAGTTCTATGGACTCCTAACCAAAATACTTTGTGACCTGAAAGTGTCTGAGAATATCGATATTTGAAGAGTTTTTTTCCCATGCCAAGTGCACGTTTTATATTCATTATTTACTAGTATCGTGGAGATGATCTTCCGAAATCCTATTTAAAATTCCCACATAGCCTCCGTTCCCTGTCACTCCTTGCCACATACTTGTATCTAGTGGCATGCTTTTGCTTGGCATTCCATTAGAGCTTCGTTCAGTAAACTGTGATTCATGGTAATATACATACATACATACATACATAGTTAGTGTTAAATTGTTATACGATCGAGTGTTGCAACATTTGCAGCCGCATTCCTGGGGCAGACTCACCTCAATCTGCCCCTCTATAGCCGTATCTATGTCGTCCCCATTCCTCCCTCGTTCACCCTTTCCACACAAATATTTGCAGTGTCACAGAATTGTAAATATTTTTGCCAGTAAAAAAATAAAAACAAAACAAAAACAAGTAGATAAATAAATCCGAGGGAAGGATAGCAAACAACTTAATGTTGTAGTTGTTGTAGTTGTTGTTGTTGTTGTTGTCGTTGTGGGTTGTTGATTTTTTTAGTGGTGATTAATGCAATGTCAGTGTGTTGGTGTATTGGTGTTGGTGTTTTGGTGTAAGTATCTATGTGTTGAGCAGTTTTATGCACTCGCTGCTGGAATTCTCCTTATTTCCTACACCGAATCGTATTTCATTTAATCTTTTTTTCTTTTTTTTCTGTGTATTGTACTTGGTGCACTGCACGGCTTCATAAATAATTTATTTACTTGGCTACTCACCCGCTGATGGTTGATTTTTGTCGTTATGATTTGTGTTGTTGTTGTTGTTGTTGTTGTTGATTTGTGTGCCGGATTGTTAGCTCATTGGTGACACAAATCAATCAAATGCCTGACATTCCAAATATACTATATACATTCGGTTTTTATTATTTTTCTACGATTTGATTTTAAGTCGGGTTTTTGTTTTAGAGTTTCTTAGGTTTTTCGTTGTTCCATCTATGATTTATGGCACAGAAATTTGTATTTCGTTCGTTTGTTTATATATTTAATTGACTCAATAATTAATTGCATCCAAAAATATATTTATAGCGGTCGATATTTTGGCAAAACTGCCATTTTGATTTATGTATTGATTGCAATAAAAAATAGTCACAAAAATAAACTCCAGGAAAGTAGAGCAAAAATATTTGATACCCAAAAGTGGACACACAGAAAAGTCTGTAAAAACATCTATAGAACCATTAAAAACCCTTCACTTACATATGTACCTTTCTTCTCAATTTGTACTTAATTTTCTCTAACAAATTCCCACTTCAAAGGAGATCCGACCCTTAGCCACTCTATCGAAACGTAGACCAGGTATAATTTTTGACCGAAGCGAACTTCTTTCGTCGAACAATACTTCCCGACTGTGCGTACGAATAACGAGGACTGTAATATGTGTGGACGGTTCCCGGAAATACTCATGCAGTACCTGCTTAGTGCCCATCGTGGGCTGCATCGATCCGGAACACTATAATAATAATTACAATAAGCATTGGCGGCAGTGGCAGTGGCAGTGGCAGTGGCAAATATTTATCCACATAAATTTTGGTGCAGTGGTTCAAAGGTGGTTCCACCTTCCACCACAAAAATTGCACGCAAATCACAATTTTAATTTTAATTATTTTCCTCACATTTTTCGGGCGAAAAACGATTTTTGTTTATGCCATAAAAACGATGAAAAATTGCACAAAAAGGCTAAACAAATTTTCTTATGAATGAAAATGTGCCATAAGCGAATGAGTGTCCCGCGCCCCGCCCGCCGCGTCCTTGTCTCCTTTATCTAGTATTCTGTGTGGCATCAAACACCTAATGAAAATCAACAAATCATGTTTATCGACTACATGAGCCACACAAGTCCTTCTCGCACTCTGCTCTCTTTTTCTCCGAATGGATATCAAATGATGGACAAGAGCAGCATCTATCTGGCCTTCAGAGTCTTGCATTCAGCACCGAATTTTCTCCTTTGAGCCAATCAGATTTTCACTAGGTTCATTCCAACGCTGAGTGACAGACGACCGACGGCTAGGGGGAGGGCGGAGGCCGAAAGATGAGAGGCGGCCTCAGAGAGACGGAGCTGTCCAGAGCTTGTACGAGTATCAAAGGTAAAGACAGGCTGGACACCGAGCTGGAGCTCTGAAAGCCAACAGAATCTGCCCCGAAGCTGAGTGGAAATTCGATATTGCCCAACACCAACGCAGATTGGTTTTTCAAATGTGATTGAAGTGCAAACTACCGTCAGTCCTGAGCTGGAATGTTTTCCTAGGACTCTGTAATTGTTTCTGTCAATAGTATAGTCATTACTTAGCCTAATTATTAACCATTTGGTCACCTTGTATTTTTCCACATCAAGTTGGACAATTTTAGGGGCCTATTCGTATGAAAGGTAAGCCAGAAAGCAATTAAAAATATCTCAAATTTCTTGAAAGGGCTGCTTGACTTCTCTAGCCTTAAGCCATAAAGCTTTAAACTTTTATTGTATTATAATAATCAAAATAACAATACATAAATTCCACTTCAATTCTCTTTCAGGCAACACAATTTCATTTGAATTCTTTGGTCAAAACCAAGTAATTAATACCTTCAGAATTCTCAGAAGGAAACACCGTCCAATTTGAAATCATTTGAACTAAGAGTAGGACTTTTCCTTTCAAAAGATTTTGAGCCAATCAGAAATGCCTATTAATTAGAATACTTAGAAAACTCCTAAGCTTTACAATTTGATCAACTTGCTGATGATTTCGTGTTTCCTCAAAAGAATATTTATGTTAATTATTATAACTATAATTGGGAAGCCCACGAAATGTTTTTTGGGCAATCAGACAGCTTTGTTGTCTAAGATTGGAAGCCATTGGATTCCCGTACTCCTACCCGCAAACTTTGGTGTGCTTTAGAACTAATCAGACAAGAGTTCAAAGGAAGCTTAGCAGGCAGTGGCAGTGGCTTTCTTGCAGTTGGCTTTAATGCGGCAATTTTCATAAATTTCCAGCGCGCTTTTCGCAGACATTTCCATTCCGCTATTTCGCGCACAGCTGCGACCCAAGCGGCGTATGTGTAATATTTCTAATGCCAAAAAAGGGCTTGATTCCCCCCGGCAGTGCCCAACGGCAGGGCTGCTGCAGCTGGCCAAACCAAATGCGCTCCAAATGCTTCAAAGCACACTTGCACATACACTAAACGCACACGCACACACACACACACATACATGGCTGAACGTTTGTGTCTGCGCCACACGGCGTATGGGCAACATTTTTGATAATTATACGACGAGGCAGCTGCACGTTAAACACGCCAAATGCAATTAAGTGCTTCAAACGGTGTTTTCTTTTTTCCCCACACATTTTTCCTGTGGGCTTGTCACTCTTCTTCTCTTTTTTTTTTGGCTAGAGTGGGGCTGTTCTTGCTGCTCTGCTTCTGGACTCGGTTGGTGTGTTTCGCCGCTTTGTTTTGTTTTTTAATTAAAAATTGAAACTAAAACGCCCAAGCAGCTTAAATATTTAACAAGTGACAGAGAGAGAGAGGTATAGCCCGATTGGAGAACGCGCTTCTGTGCTGGGCGACAGAGACCAATGCAGAGACAATTAGAAATGTTTGTGGGTCAGGGCAGGGGGTAGAGGTGAGGGCGGAGATAGCGCGTGTGGCGAAATGGGAGCGGAAATTTAGGCAACTTTATGGCAATACCAGTCCACACTTTCGGGATTTCCCTGCTAGGCAAAGGACTCTCTACAGGGCGTGGGGTGGATTAGCGTTTTTTTCTCTTAAATTGCTCCATATATATTCTTCAAGAATTAGTCATTAGCTATGGAAGTTCCAAACCCATTGAATGTGGGTCCAAACACTTGAAATTCCTTCTATTCAAATTGTATATTTTGGAATAATATTTAAGGCTTTTTTTATAAAATAAATACCAGTTTTAAGCGTGAATTGGAAGTGTGTCAAAACTCATATAAAATCATTCGAATTTTCAATAAAAACTTTTAAAAGTTTGCTGATTTTCCTTAAACAATTTAGGAGATATAGAATGGGTCTAACCATTCGAAAACTTCATTTGGTCTAAGTACTTTTGATACTAGAGCTCGAATTTGAACCCTACAATATTTAATGGGTCCTTAGATTAATTTATCATAGTTTACACATCATATTTCGACCATTTATTGTTTGCTCATATCGCTTAAATGGTGTTTTAAAGGCTTATGCACTTTACTCTGAAGTTACCTTTGATTTTGAGAATATTTAGGAGTCAAGTGATAAATCAATGTCATGTTTTAAAGCCCTCCTCCTACAATCGAATAACTAGCAAATATCCATTGCATACTTTCAGGTAGCCAGCTAAGAGATAAAGCTCATTTACAGGGTACAAAGAGGGTCTGAGCTGTTAAGCACCTGCCACTCGGGCTGGCACACGACACGGCCTTTGTAATTAATTTAGCAGCAACAATTTGCCCAGACTCGGGCTTAGTGCTTTCTGTGGAACAAAGCAATCCTCCAGAGACCGAAAGGGACAGGAACTGGGACTGGGCCTGGGACTGGTGCTGTTGGGCCTTAAACATTTTGGGAATTAACACTTTAAGCTCGAACAGTTTCATTTTTAGCCAAACACCACGAGGATCGAGCCATGTGCCCCCAAAACACGATGCTGCCTGATTGCGGCCAGGTGTTAAGCCGATTTAGCTATCTGAATAAGCTTACACTATTTAATTTGCCATCACAAACATTTGAGAGGGTTCGTTTAAACCAATTGGGAAATCTTTTATGCTAACATCTTCATGGAAATCGTTTTATGGCTTTTGATTTCTTGTTCATTTATACCATTATTTATGCTTTATTTGTTGTTTTGGTTCATCATTTGTTTGTTTCTGTTCATTGCACTTTAAAAAAATATAGTAAAACAGCTAATGGAAACACTCTTCTAAGAACTGAAACTTTTCCAATTGAATTTCGTGGCGATATGCGAATTTTGATGGCCTGTGTTAACGTTTAATGGAAGTCACCGAAAAAAAAAGAAACATCCCAAAGTTCAGAGGGAGTGGGACTCACACAAGAAATTGTTTTTCAAAAATTGAACAGAATTTTTTGGCTGAGAAGTTTTCAATTTGCGTTTTTGTCTGGGCCGCGCCGAAGAACAACACGACAATTTCCCTGGGTTTTTCAGGTGATTTTCTTGGATTTCTGTGGAACACGTCGTGCCGTCGGCGAAGCTGAACGAGAACTGAAATCAGAATCGGAATCGAACGGCGAGTGTGCGAGTGGGCCAGTGTGCCACACTGCGAGGCGATGACGACGATGCCACAGCCGATGCCGAGGCGCGACGAGGCGGCAACAAGGCGGCAACGAGGCGGCGACGGAGTGCGGAAAGTGTTTCGGTCTCGGTTTTTGGTTTCGCATCTGGGCCCCTTCCGGCTCCTCTTCGGCCATCCATCCATCCTCTTTCGGCCTTGTCGCATGCGAGAGATTTTCCTGCTGGTAGTGGGAAATTTTTTGAGCGGAGCACAAATTTCCCTGACGCAGCGAACGAAAGCGAAACCATGGGCGCCACGAGCCCTCAGCTCGGCTCGCGAACCAACGCGTCTGCCATCTGGGCTGATTTTAGCCCTGACTGGGAGAACATTACCGTTTTTTGCTTCTCTTTTGGCCAAATTGTGGGCCTACCTGTTGCTTAGCAACTCGGCCAGGCGCGGAGATGAGAGGCAGAGTTGGGCTGAATTCTGCTGAGCTGGGGCGGATTGGGGCGAATTGGGGCGGATTGGGGTAGGGTGGAAAGTAGCCATTGTCATAGTGCCAAATAGCATAAAAAAATAAATAAATAATAGAAGGAAGCTATCGCTCTTCCGTCCAAAATAAAGTTAAAGTTTTCCAGCAACAGCAGCTGTTTCCAATAAATAAAGTAAATTAATTTTCTGGAAAACTTCCAGAGATTTTGCATCGTTTTATTTCTGGAGAGCTCTCCCTCTCCCTCGCCCTCACCCTCACCCTCTCCCTCTCTCTTTCTCTTCTCTCTGTGTGTCTGTGTTTCTCTTCCTGCCAGCGCCTAGAAGTAGGCAAACACTTTTCTGCCACTTGAAGAGGGTCAAAGAAATGTGCGAGCAAAAAAAAAAACAAAAACGAAGATAAACTAAGAGAATCCCCACATCCACATCCACATCCATATCCATATCCAATATGTGTATATATGTATGGCTCTTTTCCCAGTTGCCCAAATCGATTGTTTTCGTATGCGCACTTGAGCTGCCTTCGATTGTCAAAACATCTAAATGACATTTGGCAAATTCGCATGTAAATGTCCTCCTGATGGTGGCTCGCCCTGCTACACGAGATGCTCAGGTGAGGCAGGACTCCTGTGGAGGGGAAACGGAATCAATTGCATATTGTAAATCGAATAAGTAACCAATTGGGGATTCAAAACCATTCAAATACCGGACCCGAGCACACGAGCAAATCAATTAAGTGCCAGGACATTTTCTGATGTCCTACCTTCAGAGAAATACCTTCAGATATATATATATATAAATATAATTTTTTTGCTATTTTTTGCCTTTCGTTGGGGAAGGTTTAACCACATCCATGGAAGCGCTTTCAAGTGAAATTCATGAAATTTTTCGCTGTGGTCAATCGTATTAGTATTTATTCATGGACGTCCAGATAAATTAATATAGATTTATTTGTAATTATTACTTTTTTAGTGACTTTTTTGCCATTTATTATTTATGTTTATTAGTTATTTTCATTAAATTCCTTCTTTTATTTTGACACAAACTTCCCTTTTTAGATTTTTAAAAATCCTTTCAGAAAATAATAAATGGCTATAATTGATATTGGTATAATTGGAGTCTTATTCATATTTATTTTATTAACCACAGATTTCTCTATGCTCAACTTTTTGCTCAATTATTTTCAATTTCCACTTTTAAAAATATCTTAAAGATGTATTTTTGATGTATTTTAAAGGTCTTCGATATTTTGTCTCTTTTCAAATTTGAGCGGCATCATTTTTTTTTTTAATAAATCCAAATTATTGATTTCACACGGAGGAACTCCAATTGAACGAGAAATGAAATGTGAAAACGGGCAGGAGATATGAGAGGCAGAGAAAGAGACAGATACAGAGACAGAGACAGACTGAGAAAGACAGAGAAAACTTGCTTTTCAGCTTTTGTGCATAAATTTTAGGTTTGTTGAAAATGTTTGGTATTTTGTTTGTTCTACGCGTTGTGGCATGCCCAACTTTTTGGCAGTTGAGTTTATTGTTGGGCGGCTGTTCCTGTTTTTGTTGTTTGCATTTGGTAGAAGCAACACAGCACAAGGGGAAAAGTGGGAGTGGGAGTGGGAGTGAGAGGGAGAGTGAGAGTGGGATGCCACTCAACACTCAACATGCCAAATACAAACACAGAAGAGCACAGAACCCTGTCAAAAGGAGGTGGCTCTGAGGATGAAGGAAGAGAAATATCTGAAGGATAAAAGGGGGGAGAAGGAGTGAAAGAGTAAAAGAGAGACGAAAATAGGGGAATCCCTGGGCATATTGAGGCAGCAAGAAGTGTAAACAGGAAACGTGATATTTGACAGATGAGTGTAGATATTTAGATACCAACATAAATAGTACTTATGCCCTGGGAACCACCCCCTATAACCATTCTGCTTCGGCTCCTGCTCCGTCTCCGTCTCCGACTCCTGCTCCTGCTCCCTTACTCCCGGCACTCCCTCTGCTCCAGTCGGTCTGTCTCTGGTGTCTTATTGATTTTCTGCTATAGCTTTCACTTGCCGCAATTTGAAGTGCCACAGAGACAGGCACACTCAGCGACAGATGAACACAGAAGAGGCAGCGACAGACAATAAACACTCACACAGAAGGAGATGGAAAGAATTCCGACACAAAAGGCACAGAAATGAGATGAAACGATGAGTCTAAAAACAAGAGAAATTATGAGAAAATAATCGAAATTCATCAAATCATATTATTCTCATCGAAGTATACCTACTATATTTTTTCATGGCCATGTATTCAACTGTAACCTCGCGTACCTACTGTACCTACTGTATATAGACATCAAATATGATTTGGACTAGACTCCTATTCGGGTCATATGCGTCCCTCAAAGATGGTCTGTGAAAAGACCAAGAAGAGCAAACCCAACGTTTACTTCCGCTTGAAACCCTAATTGCACTCTCTTTTCAGCAGATTTCGTATCTTTTGTCCAAGTACTAGGTATCGGTTTATTTTCATTGTTTCAGCTGTGTTCTCCTCCTTCAGGCATGGTGCTCGCCCTCGCTCAGTGCCTGGCACAGGTGCTCCTTCCAGGCCTCGTATAGATATCATTTTGGCTCATCATTTGCCAAAGGATCACTTTCCTTTATCGACAGTCGCCTTTAGCTGGTTCTGATCGATCTTAAAGCTACAGGTCTTAAGTAAGGCTATTTATATTCCTTTCAGATAATTAACTCAATCGATTTTCGACTTGTACCGATTCATATGCGTTGTCCGACTCCATTTGTGATGAAAATAAACTCGATGCTTTACAAAGAAACGATTTCGACATTCATTGTTATTTTCCAGTAATTGGCACTCTTCGAAAGCAATCGACGCGCTGACAATCAAGAATATCCAGATGCCACGGCTCCTGCAACAGTGTACAGTGAGGGATCTCTGGGGCAGACACTCAAGGGAGACGCCGATGCCCCCGTATAGCAGGTTTTATTCCCATCAGTTCCCATTTCTATAATTTGCAAAGTTTTGATCATACCCTAGTTTGTCTCACAATTAATTTATAAATCTCGCATCGCGTGCTCTGTTCGCCAGCAGGGCTTTCACTGTTCTTAAGTGCATATGTACCACTCTTACTTATATAGTAAGAGATGCACATCATACACGTATCCATTTATCTCCCCGTCAAGTGCGTACTTGATGCTTAATGACTGACAGATTTCCATTCAATCGACCTACCTTCACCGACCATCCAATCCCATCCCCACTCCCACTCCCACTCCCACTTGATTGTATTTTTCCCCACAGAAACAATGAAAAAATAATACAAAAAAATAAAAGAAAAGGGAAGAAAGAAAAGTAAAATCCCCATAAAAAAATGTATATTGAACGATAATCGAAGAGTGCGCAAAAAAAGGAGAAATAGGTAAAGAAAATATGATATGGAAATGAGTTTGCGTTTTACTCACAGTCATAATAGTCATATCGATCCGCTTCGCTGGGATTATTGCTGCCCATGATTTTGCCAAAAACTGTGGAAAAAGTGCGACAAACAGAAAGAAAATAAGAAAACGATTTAAGATATACAACCAAAGGGTTAACAACAATATCGAAAGGACGGGTAAAAGGGCCAAAAAGAGCAACAAAATGACGAGAAATCACAGCAATTCAATTAAAAACGCTGACACAGAGTCAAAGTGCTCTTCCATCCTCATCCCCAGCACTAGGGCTGGGGCGAGTCGGAACAGAGATTGGGGCAAGTGAAAATAGACGGTAAAAGGGTTAATGGGAAGTGCAGTTAGGTCTGGATATATATGTACCATTTTGTTTTGGTTAGGGTAGAACCGTAGAGAACAGGGAAATGAAACGGATGGCATAGGGGTGGCCTGACTAGGCTAAACCCATGATCTTCTTAAGAAAAAGTCCCCTAAAGCTTTAGGTATTTATTCATGTATTCAGGTCAAGATTGGAAACATTATAATAGATAAGTTCTATGAGTAGAACCAATGCCTTTCCGAAGTATGATCTGTAGAGTTTCAACTAGCAAAGCAAACCCAACTTATAAAAAAATATTGTCCGAGGACCGTTTATCTCTGGACCATTGAACGGGTAACAATGATCCCTGCTCTTTGTTTTTTCGCTGACAAAACCTCAATCAATAAAATTTCCATAGCTCAAATCTCTGTTCACATCCATTGTGCTTGTGGTCAACCTGGTCAGAGCTGAGGGCGTGGATTTGGCGTAGAGATGACCACGTTTGGGGCGTTTGAGTTATGTAAAGGGGGTCCCCACTGTGTAGGGAAGGGTGCTGTGCTCACTGGACCAACTCACGTTTGGCGAAGCTCTTGCGAACGCGCAGAAAGCAGGAGCGCGACCGCGACAGTTGGACGAGCTCCTCGGGATGGGATCCGTTCTGTATGCAAATGATGGGCGCCAGGGGTGCGATGCGGCAGCGGCTGT